CTCCCCTGGGACCAGGCTGGGAACTTCTCAAGGAGTCAAAAAAAAAGCTGCAAAACTGTGCAGAGCTGGAGAATTTGTGTTTCTTCCCCTCCAAAGCTTTGGGCAGCGGGCCTGCTCTTTTCCAGTGCATCTCTGCTGGGTGATACTGCAGAGAGAGAAGCAAACCAACTTTTCCTCTTTTGCAACAGTAAGGTTGGCTCCCTACTTACCAGTGCCCTGTGTAAATACAGCCAAGCACAAAAAGGTATTGAAACTTTTTGGTCCCAGCCAAACAATAATTTCTGTAGAAATGTCAAGAATTCAAGCCTTAGCAGCGTTTCTGATTAATACCTGCTTCTAATCTTTGAAATATTTGTTTCGTGGCAGAAGATTAATCACAGGAAATCATCTATTCTAAAGGTCTTTGGTTTATTTTTTATTGCTGGAAGATACATATATTTAAAAGCCAATGAGCATCTCCTCCTAGGAATGTACATATTGCCTTCATCTGTCTCCCTTTATGTGCCTGCTGCACATTGACAAGTCCTATAGAATTATTTCCAGCCTGTTCAAATAGTTTTTCCCCTTATTCAACTGTAGGCACAATGACAAATCCGAGTTGCAGTATAAAATGTATTTTGCTGGGAAATGACCGTGGTGAATTTGATGCTGTGCTGGTTACTCGCTGTATTTCAAGGCAGAAGAGCTATATTTGATCTTGGGGGTGGAAGAGAAAACCACAGTGTGCAGGCTGGTGGCTGCTCGGTCACTAATGTATTGGCAGTTTGGGGGAGAAAAATCTGCATTCTCTTTATTTTTTAGGCCAGATATTAGCATGAATTATGGTGCTAGCTATTTCAACAAGAGTCAAGTGGAAGATTTAACTCCTTGGAGAGTTGTGTGTGTAGTTTTGAGCCATAACTAAGGCTTTTAGCTGTCACGCTCAGGCAAATCATAATAAAGAGTAATAGGTAAAAAGCCACTGCTCCTTTAAATCAGTGTCACCAGTGACTCAGAATATCTATTGATTTTTTTTCTTTATTCCTACCAACAGTTTCAATTAAGATTCAGCAGATACACTCTGAGAGAACCCTGTATAAAATGCTTTGTAATATTTTGGTTTAATACTGCTTTTAAAATTCTGTTTAAGAAATGAGCATTTAAAAGTAATTATATCTGTAACACATTACAACGCCACTCTAAAAGGCTAGTATAATGCCCAATTCATAGCTTTTGTTATAAATTTTTGAGTGTATAATTACTGGAATGTATAAATATATATTTCATCAACTTTTTTCAAACAACAGCTATACAAATTTAAAAAGTCAATTATATTCACCCAGACATAGTGCTTTCTGAATACAAGAGAATTACAGCATGGTTTTGGAAAAAAAAAACAAACCCAAACCACTATATTTTCCCTGCAAATAGTGTCTGTACCAACAAATCATCTGGACAAAATGATTACAGGCTATTTGTCTTTACCCTTTGTAATGCACTAAGCAAATTTCAGTGCTTCATCCACACATGAACCATTTGCTAATCTGGGGTTTACTGTACGTTTCTCAGGCCCTTTACCTGTATTTGTGCATTTTGGGCACGCTAACTCCAGATGTGCAGCAGCTGTTGTTCCACATAGGAGTGTGTGACCGTATTCCGCATGGAAGCCCAGTGGAAGGAAAGCAACCTGAGGCTCTGTCATTCTCCAGGAGATCTTGAAAGCTGCAGAAAAAGAAATGAGAAGGGCAGCCGTTAGGGAGAAGAGCAAGATGCATGTGTAGAATAAATGCATATTAATAAAAAGGTTTGCCTCCCGAGTCACCATGCTTCCCATTTAGATTTCCGTATTGGCATGTGGCAACTGCTGTAATTGCTTGTATTAAAAAGTAATACCGGGAATGTAATATATTTTTAGTTCTCACTACAGCAATATATCAACTAAAAACAGGAAAAAAAAGTTAACATTGTACTGTGACCCAGTTTTCTAAAGACCATCTGAGAACTGTGGGTCATAATTTGGAAACCTTTGGCAAGAAATCTTGAAGTACAGTGTGGATATCTCTGAAATTTCTTTCAGAGACACATACATTTGTAGCTGATACATTTGTTGGTTGGTACATGTAGATCTTTCTGAAGTCTTCTGCCATTTCACAAACAAGATTCTCCATTTCCATTTTCACTTGGTAGGCTTCCATCCCGTTTCCTAAGCAGGCAGGAAGTTTTTCTTTGCTTTCAAGATTGTGTGCTGGGGAACTTCACTGGTTAAATGTAACTTCACTGCCATCAACCTTGGGAAGCCTCGGAGAAGTGTGTTAGCTCTGCTACACATCTGGTTTTCTACTGGTTTGGAAATTAGCAGGTTAAAATAAAAAAGCTGAAATGCATATCCTGCATGGCAAGTGAAAAATGTTAAGAAATAAATTGCTGGTGTTCTCCTAGGCAAAGAAGGATTAATTTATAGGAGCTGCACTGAAATGGGGGTTGAAATTTCCTGTACTGTAATTTTAAAATGCCAGAACAGGAGGAGACCTTCAACATCGAGTGGTGTCCAAAGTTCATGACAGGCTTGAGGCTAAAGAGCTATCAATTGTTTGCACTCTTAAATATCTAATTTATTAAAAAGCTGGAGGGGGTTTGACATCACCATTCTAAAGCTTTTCCTTCTGAGGACAGTCTGAACTGTTCAGTTCATATTTTCAGTGTTCTGGCATTTCATCGTCGAAGGGCTAATGTTCTTTGGCTGTTTTCCTGAAGAAATGAAGGATATTGTAAATTTACGTTGTCAAGAGTAATGAATGTAAAGCCCAGTGCAAGAAGGATTTAGTCATGGAGAAATGCCACCGTTGAAAGCCCGGTGCTCCCTGAAAATGTGAGACTCTCTGATGTATTTTAATATTGTTAGGAACCTTGTCGATCACTTACCTGTGCTGCAGATATAATGAGAAGGACTCTGGAACAACATCACAAATCACATAACTAAATCTGGTCTTCATGAAGGTGGTGCGGTGGCCTTGGAGGGGAAAGGGGAGACAAGAATTCCCAGTTCATCTCCAGGAGCCCCCGTCTCATGAACAGGAGCAATGTCAGTAAACAGGTTGAGCAGGAAATCTCCTTCACAGAAAGGAAAAACGTGAGAGGGGACAAGTGAGGTGAAAAATAGCTACAACAGGAGAGTGGGAGGACTGGAAAACTCCCCAGGTCAAAACAATAGGAAAAACGGTGAAAAACTGCAAAAAAAGATTAAAAAAAAAAAAATTAAAGCCAAACTATTAAAACTAAAAAAAGTCATTGGGACCAAAAAAGAAAAAAAATTAAGCAATGAAGATGTGGAGAAAAAGACAGGTTTGGAGAAAAGATATTGATTTAGCTTTAGCCTCTGCCTCTTTGTGCAACATGAGTTTAGAAGACCTCTGGTAACCAGATCAATAAAATCTTTAGAATCATTTAATTAGATTGAAGGCCAAAAGATAAACTCTTGTGATAAAAACTTCTACCTTTATTTGCCAGAACAGGGGTAAAAAGTGTTCACTGCTCGTTTACCTTCCAATTGATTTTCCTTCAAGCTAAGAAAAAATGTGCTACATTTGGACAGAAGGCGGCATTGATGTACCTTCTCCTGATATAGAAATGTAGAATACAAGGCAAAGGTCACTTAAGGGTAATTATAAAACTGTCGAACAAATGACAAGTCTACAAAGATTCAAGAGGAAGCAAGTTTATACCTATGTATGAGACAAAACTGACGGCAACTGCTATCCAGCAATACTAGCTATGAAGGATGATTGCCTTTATTTCCAGTTGCTAGAGCTAGAGAATTTATTTCTTAATTTAATGCTTACTTCAAATGTAATTTATTTGGTTGTTCAGGTGTCAAGTCAGAAGCGTGCTGAATTTAAGTTTAGGGGTTTGGTTGTATGCTATGTTTTTATGAAAAGAAATCAGCGATCTTAAACACAGCGTTCTTTAAAATACTGTCTGTTTTATCACATTGGTGTTCTAGTTATTATTTGCATTAATGTCACCATATTAATTTTCTGTGGAAAGAAGCATACATTTATTGGTCTAAAAGTCTTGTGTTTAGTGAAAACTGACTCCTCTACCTGTAAGATATGCCTTTGGAAACAAAATAACTTCACTGATGATAAAATACTAATTTTATATGCCATAAAACTATTTTCTCTGAAGGGATGTTGTCCTGCACCTTTCTAAAGCTTGGTTTCTTGCATCTTCATTTCAGGTACTAATTCTTGAGTGCTAAACCTGAAGTAAACGGAGCACTCCTTCTACACCATCATATATAAGCTTTAAATTACGTAGGGATGAGCTTGACAGAATGTGTTCAACCTCTGACCTTCTCAGAGTCTCTCCCGAAGAGGAGTGAAGGTCGCCTGTTGTTAACTGTATGATTGAGACTTGATTGTACATTGGTTTGAACCTGGGTGGATTTCTCTGTCTTCATGTTTTTAAAAGTGCTCGTAAAACAATTATTTGTGCTCTGTTACTGTGCTGTAATGGCAAAAGAAAGGTCATGGAAATTTTTATTTTTACTTTAAAATATCTAAGAGAAGGTCGTGGAGTCTGATCTTTGCTGTGCTCTGGGAGTCAGCGGAGGTGGATCAAAAGCTTTTTCAGCCCTCAGCTGAGTAAGCTGGGAGATTCTGGGTTCATTTGGGTTGGGTTTGGTCTTTTTGAAGAGCAGGGGCTTTTCTTCCACATGAGTGTCAGGCTTTTTGAATAAAATTTGTGTTCAGACGTGGGTTTTAGTATCTTCCCTTCACAGTTGCTTGGTTTTCAGCATTTCAGTATCTTCTGTAGCATATAGTGTCCTCACTGTCCTCAAGCAAAAACAGAGTAGGAGAAACTTAATTCACAAGAGCGCATCTGGTTTGCCTTATGATTTATGATTTGCTTGCAGCTGACCTTTGAAAAGGGCTGGTTCATACTTGCAGATTTTTAGAATTCATTTTGAGCGTGTGCTTGTCTGAAATTTTTATTAATTCTCTTTTTCTTCTCTTTTGCAGATTACAGATAGAAGAATCTTCTAAACCTGTAAGGCTATCACAGCAGCTGGACAAAGCCGTAACCACGAACTATAAACCGGTGGCTAATCATCAATATAATGTAAGTAGCTTTCGGTATTTTCCCTTCTTCTCCTCTTCAGGAGGAGCCTGGCTCAGGACTCCAGAATCGCTCTGCTGCTGTCACGCAGCTCTTTCCCTTGCAGTTGGCCACTGTCTTTGGAAACGCTCCACGTTATCTGGTTTCTCCCTGATTTTGTCTTCTGTCTTAAGACCAATATCACCCTTGGGGCTAAGGTCTGCCAATTCTAACTCCCTCGTGTTACCTGATGGAGGGCAGACCGCCTTTACCCAAGCCTTTTCTAGTGGCTTTATTACATTCTTCCTCTAGTCTTTTTTTTGAAATGTAATTTTGAAGTTTGGGGATAAAAGGCAGTTCTGGCTTTGTGCTATGAGATGTGGAAGCACTCCTTTGAGCCAAATAAAATATCATATGGAGGTGGGTAAAAGACTTGAAAAGAATTATTAGTTTCCAGCCCTTTGCAGGAACTGACAAGTAGAAAAGAATAACAGCTGATAATTTTTCACAGTTTCATACCTTCATAGTACGTGTTATTTGCATCATTGGCTTTGTCAATATTACACCCACACTGCTGTTCCAGATCAGTTGATGTACATACAAACTATAATGTCCTTTTTCTTAAAGATCCTCTTTGAGTAATTTGTATGTATGCATATATAATAACTGTTACTGTTGAATGTGAGAAATGTTAAGTCATACTGAAAATGAGTCACTGTGTTAGTCATTTAAACTTTTACACTTTTTATTAAGATTTTATTTACATAAAACAAATGACAATATACTGGATGATATTTAAGCATTATTCTGAAAGGCAGTCTATTTCCACAGAACCAAAAATAGTCGTTTCTCTCTCATGGGACTGTTTTGTAGTAGTTACTGTTCAAAGTCTGATCTATACATAGATGATCATACCAATATAACTATTTCAGCTAAGGGAATGACATTTAACCAAAATAGTCACACTGGTATATCCTGCTATGCAAATGCAATTTTATATGAGTATATTGTTTTATGATGCTACTGTTATTCTCCTTTAATTCTGGAATAAGCTATGGTGATGTACAGCTTCTCTTTTTAGCGGGATCCTGTGCCATTTCCCTGACCCTAGCATAATTACAACAGTATGACTTCAGCCTGGAGACAATCTTTGAATCTTTGTTCCAGTTGCAAACTGCTGTCGCTGTATCGTTATGGAAATTTAAGTCTTGTGTGAGATTCAGGGAGTATTAACCAGGAGGTAACCAGGCTTCTTAAAAGCTGTGTCTTAATTGTAATGTTTTTATTGGTTACGTAGCTGTCCATGCTAATGGAAATCTATTGGCAGCGTGTTTACTTTTCGTGTCTACCTTAAAGGTGTTCTGATGGGAAAAATCTAGTAGGTCATACGTGTACTTGAGTCACTCTTGGCCTTGCCTTGACTCTAAAGACCCAGGCACAACTACTTTCTACAACGTCTTTCTTTTCATTAAATCTTTTATTAAGGTTCAGGTTAGATGGCTGAAAGGATGTACAACTAGGAGAACAAGTCCATAAATTTTTTAAACCTCTTGGTTAAATTTTTCTGCTTTCAAGCAGCAGTTGCTTTCTTAAAAGTTGCTGCATTGCTTGTAACTGTATGACAGCCCTGTTGGGGACGAGACGTCTCACAAGAAAGAAGAAAAAATGTACAAACTACTGTACATGCTGATACATTCAGTCATCTTCTGGGGAGTTTCTGAGGAAAGAATGAGTATCTACTAAATAAGAAAGAAAGAGATAACATTTCCTGAAGGGAGAGATTATTGAATGGGGCTGAAGTGTGGGAGCTCCATGTACCCATAAATGAACATAAAATAGAAAGGAGGAGGGAAATAAATTACATGTGGATGGGAAATAGCAATAGCTTGTTTGACTACAAGGATGGGGAAAGTGATTTTTTTTGTTTTTTGCAAGAAATTGTATTAAGCCTACCATTTTTATTAGAAGAAATTGCAATTCCATTACGATATATGCCAGGATTGTAACTTAGCTTTTCTTCTCTGGGAAAGGGACCTTCATTTTCTGTATATCTGTAAATATTACTCCTGTTTACAAGGTTGCAATGTTCTTGCAGCTGGCATCTTTCTGTGACTTAATTATTTTTTGTAATACAGCAGCAAAGTTCTCTAGTGGTCCTGGTTACCACTTCAGAGGCTTCTTTGTGGTCTCCCCTCTTCCCACTCTCCCGTACTATGGAGGCTGGTACCTGTGGTCCAGGGGATGGGGAAATCTTTAAGACTTCTTTCAGACATCTTCAGATGAAACTTTAGATTTAATCTCTCTTCTCTATCACCTTTGTATTAGCTGTCTGCTGAAGCAGTGTAATACATCAGCTTCAGTATTAAAGATACCTTCAAGAAGGCAATTTTGGCAGCTTTTCAGCCAGCTTAGCAACATCCTGAGAAGGTAAACAAAGAGAAATTGGTTTCTGTATGAAGTCTTGCAGGGATAAACTCGCAACTTCTACACTCGACAGCTTGTTCTAAAATGGTCCTTCCTTGAAATCAAATTGTATTTTAATGCCTTTTAAATTTAAAACCCACACAATTTTAAAGAAATCTAATTAGTTTACAGTGTAGATACGTTCTGTAATATGACTCTCAAAAAGGGCTTTAAGCCTACTGAATAAAGCATCCTCTTTGCAAAGAAAACAAGAAGGAAAAAAATGAAAGGCTGCATTGTAACTTGCTATAAGCAGTGTATTCACAAGGCAAAAAGAAGAAAACAGCAACAGATACCATGCTTTTTTTTTTTTTTTTTAAATAGCACTTCACAACATGCTCCGTGTTTTTAGACAACAGTGGGAGCTGTTGCTGAAGTTGGAGGGAAATGCTAGAGTGTTGCTAATTAAAATGTGGGCAACTGGGATGCCAGCTGCAAATAACTTTTCAACAAAGGGAGGGTTTGATAATCAGTTTTCTATGCGAGTTGATTTTATACATTAATAAATTAAGAATATTAGAATATTCACACTGCATTTGTATAGGGAATACAAACGCTCTTCATTGATTTACTTTAGCTCATCCAGAGAATGTAAAATAGAAGCTCCTACTGGGGAGAGCGTACCAAGGCACTAAAATAACAGAGAAAGAAGAATGCTGGGCATCACAATTTACCAGCAAAAAAAAGATTGTGCTTTGGTTAAAAAGACTACTTCATGTTATTTTCCAGGAGACTGTTACTTGTATAATTAGGATTTTATACTCAGTCGTGAAATTGTCCTGTCAGAGACCGAACATCAGTGAAGATAATGTTGAGAATTTCCTTATTGTTACTTTGTTCCTTTGTGTAGGAAGCATCAATTTTAAAGCAAGTAATTTTTTTCTCCACAGTTGTAGCTAGTAGCTAGTTGCTGGCTAAACACATTTTCGCTATATGTCATTTGAAGAGGTACAAACAGTACCGTGGATTTTTTGTTGTTGTTCTCAGAGATTGTCTTGAGAGTCCAAGTAGCTTTTCCCATTCCGCCCATGTTACTTACCCATTATTCCCATAGCTCTGCCATGTAGAGAAGGAATAACCTCAGTGCTTCGCTCTTGTTCTTGCTCCTTAAAAACAAAACAAAAACCAGAAAAGGAGGAGATTGGTTTCTTCCATCACTTCTGCTTGACCTTCCCCCTGAGGAGGGCACAGTTTGTCCATTTCTGTTTTTCTTCTTCTTGTTCATTTTCTTTTTGTTGTTCGGGGAGGTAGAAAATTGCAGAAGGGTTGGTAAGAACAGGCGTAATAGCTGCTGCTGTGGCAGAGTGATGGAGCCTGTAACTGGCTTTGTCTTTCACACCGCATCTTTCAACTGGGGTAGTTTTGAGTGAGAGAAAAGTCGCTAGCCTCAAAAACAAATGCATAGGTCTTTACACTGAAAAGTGACCTCAGATGTACTCAGACCTGCAGGAACCCAGAACTCAGTCAAACATTGCAAATAGAGACGCCTTCATCTCCTACCGTCTTCTGGGCTTGATCTCTGAAGTGTTGGATGCCTTTCTGGCAACAAATTAAGGCTGGATAATTCACCTCCTCCTCTTGCAAAATGTTAACACGTGCATATATTCAAGTATATAGAGGCTCCTAATGAATTGTCTGTTGGACTTTGAGAAGAAGCAAATGTTTGGACATACTGTTGTTTATAGGAAGGCCAACGTCCTAGATTTATGTTCCTACTCTAGTTTCTCTGGCGTAGCAGTTCTGCTGTAGACCATGACAACCGAGGTGATGTACTATGAAGCTGTTTTACTTGATGCTACAGTTTGCTCTTGTTGCAAAGCCTTTACTGTTTTGAAGATTAATTGTTTTAAATGCAGAGGCTAAAGAGTTAAATAATTACACCAAAGTGTATTAGTGGGTAAAAATCAATTGTGTGGGTTTGTGTGGAGAGGTTTTATCTTTTATAACACTAACATACAGTTGGAAAAGCAGACAAGTATTTGGTTGCCCAAGCCCATCTTAGATTTTAAGCAGAAGCAACAGACTTCAAGCTACAGGTTGGGAATTCTGCGTTCAATTTAATGATGAACATTTGTTTCAGGATTTGAAAGAGAAAGTTGGCTGGCTAGAGACCTGTGAGCAATGGCAAAGGTGGTAATAGTCTTTAGCCACTTTGAGACGGATACCAAGAGACAGGCTATTTTCACTCGGAGAGTAGGAGGGAGTTAGCTGGCAAGGAAACACAGGAAAAAATAAATTGTGCCATAAGACTAATCTCTCGTCTTAAAAATAAGGTTTTTAGTATCCAGTAGAACTGTGACTTTTCATTTCTAGGCTTCTTCCCTGAAGGTCTTCCTTTTGAGGATCAGGTTTGAGACAGCAGAGGCCGAACGACTCCCATACAAAATTATCCCACTGGCAGCCAGGCGCGTGTCCCTCAGTGATCACATGCGTCTCTCCTGCTGTACGTTGTGCCGCTTCGGATTCACCCATGCAGTTTGCCTGAAAGCACTTGATGATTACATGAATTATATTACCTTCTGGGTGACCTCTGTTGGTTCCAAGGAGCTTGACGGTTTTCCGTTATCGAGGGTGGTACTGGGGATGGATGGGCGATGTGCTGGCAGATGTTGCGGTTGGTGCCCTGCGGTGATCGGGGTTTGTTTGGGGTGTGCTGGTCTGTGCAAATGTTCCTTCTGATGATGAATCTGAGGAAATACAGGAAGTATTTTTGGAGGCGATAAAAGTTTCTGCAAAAATACATGATCGTCTTGTGCAGTTTATAATAGTTAAGTATTTTTTAATACAGATTCTGAAACAGGATGATGCGTGGCAACGAGGGGCCTCTACTTGCGTGGAAGGTTTTTTTCTACTTGCGTGAAGGGTTTTTTGGTTTTATGTTGATGGAGGGGTTGCCTTGAGTGCTGTTTCTGGAGCAGATGAGGCGATGGCCGAGGGCCATTTGAGCATCCTTTGGGCAGGCAGTTGTTAGGGTTGTGATGTAGCCATGTTGGTCTGTGGATTTTTCCCCGAGTATGGCAATTTGTAGGTTGGTTGATATTTGTCATTATCCTTCAGAAGCTGGTGTCAGCAGAGGTGGAGTGAAAATACCGTCTCAGTTTGGATTCCTGTACTTAGACGAATTCTCTCTCCAGGTTTGGGCACATCATGCAGGCTCTGTTTCTGGGGTTTTTTTACTGGTTAAAGCAGAGATACATATCTGAAAAGCTTATTGTGCTGAGGACAAAGCACTTAGTTTATGTTCATAAAAGAACATTTGAATGCTCAAAAGAGAATTTTGCAGATGAAAAGCACTGAGTCATTGAACAGTGTTTTATTAAATAGAAGAGGTTTTTTATGTCTTGATGTTCAGCACTAAGAATTATACAGCGTTACATATAAATGCCTTTAAAACGTGTTTTGTATCTGATAGATTGAATACGAGAAGAAGAAGAAAGAAGATGGAAAACGGGCTCGAGCTGATAAACAACAAGTGTTGGACATGCTTTTTTCAGCCTTTGAGAAACATCAGTATTACAACATTAAAGACCTGGTGGACATAACCAAACAGCCGGTGGTACGTACTAGTAGTCTTGTAATATAACCATTTTCAGTAGTTACTATTGTGTATATTTTTCTTATCCAGAAAATAGTTCAATGTATACTATATGCCTTTGAAACAGCTCTCTAAATACGTTTTACAACAAACAGAAATCATCAAGTTTTAAGTTCGCCATTGTAGAACTGTGTAGGATACCAAGCATTGCAGTGAGCATGCTTTTTCTTGACAGAGGTGGTTTAAGTAACCTAAATGGTCTCTTTCTTATTTAGGTTTGCTTTAATACTAGAAACCAAATTCTGTAATGCTCTGCTGTCTCCCATGCTACTCCTGTCCTCACTGAAGTAACAGCCTAGTTCTGTTGCTGTCGGCAGCAGAGAGCTTTTGTGAGTGATCAGTCCTTCCTCCAGTTTCTGAACTTTACCTTGGCATAGCAACAGGGGTTACTCTTTTTCTGTGGGTCTAGAAAATTGTGTTTCATGGAATTAGTATTAAATGCACGCATTACCCACTTTAGGAGCTCGGGCATCGTGTCAACACCCCCAAAATCACTTGATTTCCTTTACAAATAGAATAATTTTTAGACTAAGAGTTTAGGGGTTTGATATTTAGGATTTATTTTGATTTTTTTTTAAACACTGTTACGATACACAAGCAAGAAAAGCATGAAGACGTGTGCTTATGTGATGATTTTGTTATCCTGCAGTGTCTGCCAGACCCTTTCTTTATGAACCCTAACTTTCCAGTTCTTTCCCTTCTTCCCGTGTTCAAGCTTTCCCTGAGCAGACCAGGCCAGAGCAGGGGGACGTGAAGTATCTCTGGTGCTTTTGATGTTTTTCACTGCTGACTTCAATATCTATCCTCAACCCAGCTGCAGTTTTCAGAATACTTAAAGGGACTTAATTATGTTTGAGTCTAAATGGAGCAACAATTTCAAAAGTTGTTAGAGCTAAGGCAGAAGAAGGAACAGTGACAGCTGAACTATGGAAAAAATTATTCCTCTGTAAGAGGGGAAAAAATGAAGATGCTTACTAGTTTTGCTCACTTCACATTTAGAATTAAGTGGATCTGTATCAGAGGATTTGTATAAGGTGCACAATCTGTTTGGTTAAGTAGCTGCACAAAGACGTTACCCAGTTCAAATGCACGTAGGTTCACGGTGTTCTAGTACCTTGGAAGAAACTAGTTGGATAATGTATTTGTGTCCTCTGTTCCATTCATCTAATGAGTCAACTCCTTATCTGTGTGGCAGAGAAAGTGTCTAGATCATGGGAGCTGAGGAGGAGGAAGGAATAGGAAGAAGATATGGAGGGAGTGGCAAGCAAATTTTAAGTTGTTTTATTTTTTTTGTAAGACATAGGTGTGACAGTCACTATCTCAACCACTTTGAAATAAGTAGGTGCAGATTTATCCTTTCTAGCATGACTTCAGCTAGAAATAGTCACCCACAACTCCCACTTAGGCCATGGGAGAGCAAAAGTTTTCTTCCTCCTGTGATGTGATTTAACTCTTGAATGTACCTGTCTCTCTGCATCAGCTCAAAGGAGCCTGGAAAAGCTGTGCTTCTGACATAAGTTTCTTCATTAAGCACCAAAAGTTGGGCAAGATTAATCCAATTTTTGTCTTAGTCGCTGCCCTAAGGATTAGATGTATAGGCTAGTTATTAGATTAGATGTATAGAGCAAAACACCTCACATGAATACATTTTTTACATTTGTGATGAATTTCTATGCCTGTCTATATACCTCTGCTGTCACCGTATGCTCCTCAATGTATTCTGCCTGTAGCATAGCAGATCTGTGCTGTGTACTTTCACCTCATCAAATCTAGCCTTTTTTTTTTCAACTGTTGTAGTAAAATAGATACGTTAAAGGGAAATTGTAGACTAATTTGACCTAACATCACATGTTATTTGAGCTATATCTTTGCATCTGTTTATTTGAGTCTCTCTACTGATGGCTAAAAGTCCCATAGGGCTCCTGAGATTCATCAAACCATTAAACCCTCTTCCCCTGAATGGGCTCTGCAGTCTCAGTTTCGAGCTGTGTGGGACAGTTAGGGTTTTCGTGTTCATTCCCAGCCGGGGTTTCGCCGTAGGTGTTGGTGCCCATCCAGCTTCCTCAGACCTGGATATCCTGAGAAAATAAATGACCGAAATCCTCTTCCTGGTGCCTTTCTTCATTCACTGGCTAGCCAGTATGGCAATAAATCCAAAACTATCTTTCAGTACATCATCTACCCGTCATCTAAAGCTATCCTAATTTCCCATCTGGGTTCCCATTAAAAACTTCTGTAGGGAGTTGCTAACGGCATCCATTTCCATTTAAAAATACTTTCCCTTGGTTCCTGCTGCTCAGGCAGTGTTCGCTCCGTGTGTGAGCATCCCTGGTGCTGCAGACTTCAACCTCTGGTGTGCAACTTTTGGGTTTTTTCTGCAAATCAAGTATCTGTTCCTAATGCCCACTGTGACTTTATTGTTCACAGAGCAGCTATACCTGACAAAAAAAATCTAAAATGCCAACAGGTGAATAGGCATGCTTTCCCCATGCTGTACAGAGGTTGGCTGCTAATTAATCTCTGCTGAGTGTTCACTGCTTTCTTTTCTGTCATAGTGTCTAAGATTGTCTGGGTATGTAATTTCCCTTCTGAGTTTCTAAATGTTGAGGTTATTTTCAGACGCGAGGAAAAAAAAGCTGCTGCGGCTGCTCTCTCCTCAGCTCCCATTAAAATGAAGTTCTAGGTGCTTACATCATGGGCTAATAATATTTAAAACACATTTGTCTAAGGGAATCAACGTCTTCATTAGTGAAGTAACAAATAAATAAGGGTATTTTTCTTATGTAATGGTAAATTTAAAGTAAACTCTTGCTACAGAATATGTTGCATGTTACAGGGGAAGTTGCTGCCATCTTTATTTTGCAATCATGAAATCACAAAGCAAGTCTACTTTGAATGCAAACTACTGTTATATTAGGGAAATCTGGTTTTATTTGTTTTTCTTTTTAATGAAAAATAACAATTTGCAGTAGTAGGCAAACCTGTTGCCACCTACTCAGATGTAAGTATCGAGCGCTCCCTGAAAATATTGCAGTAATTCTAGATTTGGACTTAATGGCTGAGAACATAATACGCTTTTTATGTGAGCGATCAAATATTTATGAAGAATGGAACCAGTATGGAACCAGTGGTCTAATATGAACTGTATTTTTTCAAAATGGGGTAGACTGCTTGCAGGTTTTTCTTTTGTTTCAGCTTAAGTATCCTAAGTGGGGGCTTTTTTCTTCCCTCAAAGTTTCAGAAGGATTTTCAGAGCTTGGAACTTAACTCCTGTCTCAGAAACTTTTATCCCATAATTCTATAATAACATTTCACTTTTTATGGAAAAAATCACGAGGGAAGGTGTAACAGAGCAGAGGATGCCTTAAATGTACAAACAGATTACCTACAGATTAGCTTCTGTGTTAGACTTACGTGTATATAAACATATTGAATCCCTTTCTGAGAAGAAATTGTGGGATCCCCATTAGTGCTCACCAGGCCCTGAAATTCAGTATTTGGCATCACTGGAGGAGGTGGGAGGTTTCTTCTGATGATATAGTATCAGACCGAGTAGTACGCTTCAAGATGTATAGGCCAACTCGGCACAGCGCAGACGCGGGTAGAGCGTCCTGGTTTCTGGAAGGAGAAGTGATCCTGCAGGAAAAATCATAACGTCCCCTGAACGCATCTCATCAAGCCACTTGAACTCAAATACAGTACAGTGCAGCCGGCTTATCCCTGATTTGTGATGGTCTAAAAGCTCCAACAGTTCGGCATTGTATGTGCACGCAGAGTGATTTTTTGGGGTTAACGCTGTCAGCTGCCCTCCCCAAAATCACTGCTGCTTGTTTCTCCCCGGCAACAGAGGTGGCAAATAGGAATATGTTGCAAATCCTCAGCTGCTGCAGTTCGCCATCCCAGCTTGAAGTGCCCTTACTTGTGGCACAGACGTTACCTCGCTATTCAGTTTGGGTTGGTTTTATTTCATTTTGTTATGCTGTTGAATCAAAACTGTTGGAACTTTTGCCCAGAGATAAGCAGAGCTGCCTGGGGAATTGGGTCTGAAAACGAGTTGAAATTAAAATTAACCTTCGTTTACCTGGGTGGGTGGTTTGGAGGCATGAGCAAGTAGCAAGGGGCGAGAACTGCCTCGTGCAAAATGTCAACCCAAAGAGCCGCAGAGCCCGCAGCCGCGGGGGTTTTGTTCTGCCTGAGCCCTGTGCCTTCCTTGCGCCTGGTGACCTGGCTTCCCCGACGCAGACTACGTCTCTGAGCCTGGGAACCGCACATAGATGTACTTCGGGGGACTCGGTGCGATTATTTTCTTTTTTTTTCCAATTCTTATTAATCTGGCCGTGTGGTCTAGAGCAGAATTTGACCTTGAATCTGAGTGTTCTTTCCACCCACTCTGCCATCTTTTGAAGTGCCTGTCAGGGACATTACTGAAAGCTACCTTGCGTGCGTGCACAAGGATTGCAAACAAGGCAGTGGATATGCAGGTACCCACGTCTACACGTACGCGTGTAGAAATTGCTTTTTCACCTGTTTTTATCACCTTTTAAAAAAGGCATTGCACAACAGCGGCGTTGTCGTACGAAACTGTTCGCACGCTAATTGCTGTTGTAGCGAGTAGGTTTGTCTTGGGTACCTGACTCTCAAATAATGACAGCATCTCTGCAATAGATGGGATGTGGAAAAGTGTGCTGAGAGACGTATATTGATCTCCTGCTGCCACCTGCTGGGGTTTGCATCGGGCACCCTCAAAAACCGAAGAGCCGTCGCCACTGTGCAAAATGTACCCCCTGCTCCCCACGCACGGCTCCTGCCTGCAGCAGCTTTGGTCGAAGACGAGACCCCAAGAAACTAGTTTGTATACGCAGTGTATAGTCACCTTTCTTACTTGTTGGACAAAGTGGTCTTTTAAACACCCCTCGTTGCTTGGAGAGAGGTTTTTAAGAACCACTTTGCTACGTGAGTCCAAATGAAGTATTGTTGTTAGCGTGGGATCTGGATTTTTTTGCTTTGTAAATTCTTGATGCGTACCTGGAGAGAAACAATCAGTTTCTCTAAAAGAGACTTTTTTTACTGACTGAGAAGATAGTTTTTATTTATTTCCTAACTTTTCCTTTTAGCAGAAAAATGGGAGGAGTGTAAGGAAGAGACCGGGCAATCGGCCTTTCTTTTTTTCCTACGTCATCAACAAATATTTGCTTTTTTTATGAGTTGGAGTATGTTGATATTTTCACTTAGTGGAACTGTAGGTACAGAAAATACAAGGGTTCCAGTAACTCCAGTTCAATATAGGCACTCAAAGAGGATTAAATCGCTCAAACTAAAGCAATTACAAATTTAATGTGGGGATTCTTAAACCATGGTCTGCGGTTGCCATGGCAATCCCCTCAAGTCGGTCCTGATTAATATTTAAACAAACAAGCAGGCAAATGGCTCTTTGAAAAATGAAACAAATTACTGGTGCTTATTGTAAAGAGCAGAGGAGGGTGATATTAGTGAGCTGTCTTGTGTCAAAGGTTATACCACTGGTATCATAGCTTTGCTTGGGTTTTTTTTTATTTCTCTTCCTAGCCTTAATATTTTAATGTATTAGAAAATTCTCTGGCACCTACTCAGCTCTTCTCTAAAAACGAGGCTGTGATAAAATGCTTAAAGCTTTGCAAAATGGCATGAAAACCAACAGCTCGGGGCTTTGATGGGGTCTGAATAAGACAAGGAGTTTCAAGATAATCCCAGCCTAAGCCAGACGAAAAGCCAAGACCTTTTAGTTTAGGTGGAGAAATTCCAACAGGAGGAAGATGCGTGCGATGACACCCTCGTGGAGCTTCGTTTCGGCAGCCTGTGGAGCATCCCTCTAGCTAGTACCTGCCTCTCCGCACCCCGGGACTGCCTGGGAGCCGTCACCCCTGGGGCTTGTGCCAGGCGTTAGACCCGGGCTGCTCTCAGACCTCTTGGTGCCTGGGGGTTGAAGACCGTCACAGAGTCATTACGGCACAAATCGGTGCCGATGGGCCAGCCTTGCTGTCCACCGCGTCGTTTTCGTGAAGCGAGTAGATGTGATTGAGCAGATCGCGCGACATCGTATAGGAGTTGTGGCAATCGACCGCGTGCATAATTTGAATTTTTTGTTTCCTTTCAGATATACTTGAAAGAAATTCTAAGAGAAATAGGCATCTACAACGTGAAGGGGACCCACAAAAACACATGGGAGCTGAAGCCAGAATACCGGCACTACCAAGGAGAAGATAAGAGCGATTAACAAAAGCGTTTACAAAGAGAGAATTAGATTGATTGCACTGAGGGAACCGTGGTGGGTTTACAGACAGGACTGAGCACAGCGCAATTTTCTGCAAGGTTCAAATTAAATTAAAGCAGCAGATAGTTTGTAATTTTCCGTAGCTTCATTTTTTTTCCAAGGAATATTTCTTGTACGTTTCTATAAGTGTTTTGTCTTTTGACAGGAAAAATATTTATAGATGAAACTTGTATTAGATTTATCTTTATTAGAAATCTTTTGAGTTCTGATCTTAGTTTTTCTTGATAGCTTTGTGGCTTTTCCAGGCCTCGATGACTCTGAAGGAAAATGTGTCCTAGAGGAACCCGTAACTTGGTGGTCTTGCACTCCAGTAGAACCGGGTTAATACCCTCACTTCTGCTGGGATCTGTCAGGGCTTCGTCTGGAAGGCTGCAAAGGTGCACAACGCTTTGTGCAGTGTTTGGGTGGAACAGACATGATGCTTCTTTTGGGATCAGGCTTTAGGAAAAACAGCCATAACCGCGGTGCTCATCACAGTCCTTAGGCTCCATGGGAACAAATCAAGACAGTTAAAAACCCCTAAAGCAAAGGCTGTTTGATATGCAGGTCAGTGGGAAGACCACAATCCCCTCCAGGTGATTACTGAGAAAAAAAATGAAATGTCTGTCTATTAGGTACATCAAGGAATAGATTTATCTTTTGTTTGTTTTTTATGATGTTACCTATGTTTCATGTTTAAGCATATCAATAAAACCATTATTTTAATTTTTACCACACAATGTTCTACATTATTGACTGACCACATGTTGTGATTTAGGTAGCATAGGTATGAAGTTTTTTTTTTCAAACCGTGTTTTTATTGCTGGCTTTGCCACTGGGTTTCCATGTGTTTTGGGGAAGATTCCTTAATGTATCCGTGTCTCTGTTCCCCCATTTTTGGAATACACATTGCAAGAGTTGTCTGTTCAGCATCCTTTTTGTGGGGGAGCAGGGAGGGAGATGGGACAGGACTATTTAATTATATTCTCAAAGCTTTTCTGTTAAAAAAAGAGCAAAGAAAGCAGAGTGGAAAAAAACTCATTAGCATACCTGTAAATGAAGCAGACGGTGAGATTTTATAGCACAACTTTCACATTCCCTCAGGTCCTTCAGATGTGTGCATCACTTCTGCACATAGTAATAAAATAATTGGTCTGTGTGAAAAGCAAACATTCCATTATTCATCCACTTGGAAGCAATGAAAGATTCGGAGGGGGGGTCAAATGCCTTCGGAGGTTTGTAAAACAACTCTGACCCCTTACGCGTAAGTCACACATTTTAATTTTGCTCAATTCATTTTTCCCAGAATTGTTTGTGTAAGTATCTCGCTAGAGATACACTTCCTGCTGGTGCTCAGCTTTCCCTGGCCTGAAGTGTCCAGTTCCTAGGAGGTGGACTACTGAGGCTTTTGGAAAAGCAAATCACGTTCCAGGGAAGCGTGTGTGCTTTCATAAATACCACCGTTGACTCTCATCTCCTCGGGCTCTCTGAGCAGGACCCAGCTTGCTGACAGCTGCAGGAGATATCTGAGGATGCTGAGAGGAACCCAGGAAATCAGCTTTCGTGTCTTGCTACGGTACATTTTGTGCTCCCCAGCAATAGCCAGAGCCTGCACACATTGCCGTCCTCCTCACGCTGTTCGAGTCCTGCAGAGACTTGCGTTCTTATGTGCGTGGGATGAAAACTCTTGCTTTTCATGAGCTGGGCTCCTCTGCTGTGTTCATGTCCTATTTGAGCAGCTAAGGTACCTAGAAAGTCTAGGTCAGCTTCTCCCTTGTGTTGCTCCTCATGTGGTCTTCTCAAACCATGCAGGACAATGCCGTGCAATCCTGATTTAGTAGTGTTGTAATTCAGTGCCACAAGTAAAAATGGCTGTGCCATTTCAAAGGGGAAATTGTTACCTTTAGTGGGATCCCCAGCAGGATTAGCTTAGGAGGAAGGTATTTTGGATCTGCTTGTATTTTTGGTTTCATGTGAGTATACTGCTTCCCAATTTGTCTTCAGTTGAGAGGGACATAATCAGTCAGCATGAAAAGCTAGATCTAAGAAGGTATGTTACTGATCTGCAGAGTGCCTTTGGAGAGGGTAAATAGGCTCTACTTAGGAGCAATGCAAAGTGTACCGAGCACACCATTTTTTCTGGGGTTTATGTTTTTTACAAAAAAACCTGATCTTAATGGGCATCATTAAAAACATGGAGAGTGCCAGAAGTAAACGAGCAGTGGAGTTTTCAACCAACGAGCAATAGAAAGGTTGAGGAAAGCCAAGGTGCCCTGGTTCACTTGCAGCCTTCTCTGGAGTAGCACCAGTTTTCAAGGTAAAATGGGGAATGGGACAGTGAGGAAACTCCATTTCAAAAAATGGAACTAAGAAACGGAACTAGGAAACACTATGCCAGGATAAACTAAGAAAAGATACCAAGTGGACCCTCCAGAAGCCAGGCAGCTCGTGAAGCACTTTTTTTAATCTGCTTCCTGCATGATTTTAAAGGCTTTCTAGCTTGTTAGGGTGCAACTGGAATTTCAGCCCCCAAAGCAGCCACAAAATCCATGTGGCGTGAGAGAAGGGGACAACGAGCCCACAGAGATGCTGACCTAGGGGATGAAAGCTGCTGTCCTGTGCCAACACCAGGACCTGTGCCATGGATTCAAGGACTCTGCTGGCTCCTGCCGGGTGGGAGCACGAGGTAAAGACGGAGACGGAGTTGTTAGCTGCCGTCGGCAGGTCATCATCCAGCCTGCAGCCAAGCCATGGGGTCTTGCAGCACAGACTGCCCTAGACACAGACGCGGCAGGGTTAGACACACTGCCGTGGGCCCCGTATTCTCCCTTCTGCAGTAGCTGAAGGCACTGTGAGACCGGTCAAACTGCATGTGAGGCTGCGATAATGATTTAGCATTCGGGGCAACCTCATTTGGATCCGGCACGTAATAACCAGCAAAAACTCTCCAGCTCTGCTCCGCTTGTTCTGCAGAGGGACCTTCGGCAAGTGCTGTTAGCAGGATTGCCATCTGCCGAAAGAGAGGAGGAGGAGGCTTGTAGGCGTTCCAAGTCTGATTCCCCGGCCCCCGCATTCGGATTAATTTAAACTCTGAACTCTCAGCAGTGATGAACACTGATTCCCTGCTGGTCTTCCCATGTGCTGCCGTCTCTGCTCGCTGCTCAACTCTGCTTGTGCAGATGTTCTCGAATGTAAGCGGTCGAAACATTGATCCACGAGCAAGTCCCATAGGCACAAGCAGACGTATCAATGTGCTAAATGCCATTAAATGAGATTAAAAGCGTATCTATGCTCTAGCATTATTTCTCCCAAATGACCAGTTCTTTGAATCATCAAAACATTCATACTCAGGAAGGCCAGGTGGTACCAGCACGGACCTGAGCCAACGCAAGGCGGCAGCGATGAGACATCCCCACGCCAGTGGGCTGGGAGCGGGTGAGAAGGTGGGTGCCTGGAGGCTCCCACTGCTGCGTGGAGGAGCGGAGGCTGGATTTGAACCCAGCATGGGACAGGCTGGTCCCAGCGCTGCCGTGCTCCGCTCCCGGCCAGCTCACGGCTCTAAGGAAAAAGACATGGAGGTGCTGGAGCGTGTCTGGAGAACAGTATCAAAGCTGGTGAAGGGTCTAGAGCACAAGTCTTATGAGGAGCGGCTGATGGAACTGGGGTTGTTTAGCCTGGAGAAAAGGAGGCTGAGGGGAGACCTTATCGCTCTCTACAACTACCTGAAAGGAGGGTGTAGTGAGTTTTGTGCTGGTCTCTTCTGTCCAGTAACAAGCAATAGCACAAGGGGAAATGGCCTCAAGTTGCATCAGGGAAGTTTAGATTGGATATTAGGAAAAAATTTCTTTACTGAAAGGGTTGTCAGGCATTGGAACAGGCTGCCCAGGGAGGTGGTTGAGTCACCATCCCTGGAGGTGTTCAAAAACCATGTAGACATGGCACTTTAGGACATGGTTTAATGGGCATGGTGGTGTTGGGTTGACGGTTGGACTTGATGATCTTGGAGATCTTTTCCAAACTTAATGACTCTAAGTCTTCCCAGGGGCCAGGAAGAACTTCCCAGCTGAGTCCCAGTTGGACTCGATGATCCTCATGGGTCCCTTCCAACTCGAGATATTCTATGATTCTAAACATCTGCCTGCCTCCTCGCCGCCCTGCCTGGAGGCTGCCAGTGGGACAGGCAGGACTGCCAGAGGCATGGGAACAGAAAGCACCACGTGTGAATATTGGCTGCGGGCCGGCAGAAAGTTACGTGGCTACGAGGCCTCTGCTGCTGACACCGCGTCTTTGACACAGAGCTTGGAGTGGGACCGCAGCTCACTAGCTGCTGTGATCCCAGTGGATGCTCCCTAAATGTCGTCCGAGCTTTGAGTCAGCTACGTATCGTCTTCACCAGCTGCTTGGAGTTGGCTCCAGCCGAACGTACCTCCTGCGTGTGTCAGCTATGCCCACCCACATTCACGTGTCCCTGTCACCAGGATGGCATTTTCATTAGTCACTGGATTTATTGACTCCTAACAAATCATTTTTCTCGCTAACGCGCTATCGGAGCAGACCATTGCTCCAGGCTCACCTGGAGGATAGTTCTGCTTCTTGGGCTTTTCAAAGAGCTGTGGCTGGGTACAACCTGCCCCGTGTCTCATACCGGTGGCAGGACCGAAGGACTCTTTCTTGGCCCTTCTAACCAAGACTCTGTCTGGCTACCAGGCTGTGGGGTCAGCCTTTCTTGGGGAGTGTTTAATTATTTGCACAATGATGACGAACTCCAACGGGAAAGATCAAAAAAATGCCCTTTCCAGAAAAGCTCAGCACCCAGTGCTGCAGCAGGCATCTTAAGGTTCACAACTCTTGTCTGGCTGAAGGTCAAACTCTTCCACCTTCAGCTCTCTCATCAAACTCAAAAAATTTTTCAGTTC